TTTTTTTTTTTTGTTCTTCGCACTCCCTTTTCTTCTCAGCAATCACTCGCTGCTTCTGTTTCGGTTTCGGTTGTAGTCTTCCTCTGTCTCTTTACCTTGCGGGGTCCCTGTGGTGCTGCTGGAGCTGGAGGCTTCGCCTCGTCCCTTGGTGTGTTATTCTTCACTGGTGAAGACTCGAAGGGCCGAACGGGTGCGCGCGGGTCCTTTTTGTGGTGCTTGACGGCGTGGCGGTGCAGCTCCTCATAGCTGAGGAAGCAGCGGTCACAGACAGCGCACCTGGCGTGTGTCTGCAGCCCAACGTCGCTCAGACGAATCGTCTTGTGCTGAAGGGTGATGTGCTCCTCCAACGAGTAAATGTCTGCAAAGACCCGCTTGCACGCGGGGCACGGGTGTGACTGAGTAGAGAGGCCATGTTTGTTTTGCATGTGCCCGTGCAGCCCCTTCGCGGTGGAGAAGCCCTTCTCGCAGTCGTGGCACCACCAGCAGTTAGTCATCGACACGCGCGCCTGCCCGGTCACTGTGTCCGTCTGCTCTCCGTGCTTCGTGGCGAAGTGCCCCTCAAGCGCGGCGGCGGTGGCGAAAACCTTCTTGCAGACTTTGCACACAAACGACGGGGCCTCCTTCTGCAATCGGATGAGGCGGTCCACGTGATACGCGGCGTCCTCGCCGGGATGCTTGAAGCGGATGTGTGAGAAAAGCGCGGACGGCATCGTGTACACCTTCGATGAGGACAGACACAGGTCGCATATAACGCGCACGCGCTGCTCTGTGCCCTTCGTCGCCTCCTTCGCCGTGAACTGCGCCACGTCGGCAACAGCTGCGGGGTCCATATCAGTGGGCCCACCGGCGGTGCCGTCAGGGTGCCGCGTCTCGAGGTGGTTCAGCAGGTCCAGCTCGCTCTGGAACGTCCTGCCGCACAACTCACACGGCAACTCCGTGTCGGTAAATACAGCAGATATTGCCGGGGCCGCGGGTGGTTTATCAATGTTACGCGGAATGCTGATGCCCACCTGGCGCGGTGGAGCGGTGGGAGCAGTGAATTTCTCGGCAAGCGCCTCTACACCACTCAGCCGTCGCGTGGGCCGAGCCTCGTCACGCACGCTACTCTTTTCCTCCAACCCGCCGCGCGGCAGCAGCGGGACGTGCGCTTCAATATCCTCGAGGTCGATCTCTGCGTGTAAATCAGCGACGTGTTTGAGGAATTTGTCTCTCGTCGGGTACACATCGTTCTTGCGGTCGCACCAGTTGCAGATGTAGCCGCTGTGCAGCACCGTCGGCAGGAAGTCGAGGACGCGGCGGCCGGAGGATGTAAGCTCCATCTTCTTCAATGACACGCCGATCACCCGCTCGTACAGAGCGAGCCGCTCGCTGCAGATCCTCTTGCAGTGTGTGGGGTTCAGCTCCCGGTGGGAGGTAGTGAGGTGTGTCAGCATGTCGCACATGTGTATGAGGCGGCCGCAGATGGGGCAGGACGCGTACGCGAGGTCCTCGTGTGTGTGCGAGTGCGGGGCGGCGAGCTGCACGGAGGGGATGCGCAGCGACATGCACCAACGCCGGTCTGTGATGAGGCAACACTGCGTGCAACGGCTGCTGCACCACACCCGCGGGGGGGCGCCGTGTTGCCGCCACCACTGGAGCGCCACGCAGCGCCGCATGCACCGACAACGCTACCTTCCCTTCGGCTAAACTCACCGCANGGCGCCGTGTTGCCGCCACCACTGGAGCGCCACGCAGCGCCGCATGCACCGACAACGCTACCTTCCCTTCGGCTAAACTCACCGCACAACAAGACAGAGACGGGATGTGCGTGTGTGGGGGTGAGGAGGAGGAGGAGGAGGAAGAGGAGGAGTGGGCAAAAATCACATCCACTGTGGTGAGAGGTCGGCCCAACAGTTCACCACACACACATACACACAAAAAGCCGAAGTTGGATTTAAACTTGCGTCAATTTACAAGGTAGAGCAAGACACAATAACAACAAAAAAATTTTCTTTTTTTTTTCCTCTGCGAGATAAAAAAAACAAGAATCGTATGATACTTAGGCGAAACGTAGCAATGTAACAATGCGCTCACCCTTGCACTACTCTTTAAGAACTATTCATTACAACTAGGCCAGTCACCAATGTCCAAGTTGCAGGGACCTAGAGACTCATTCCTCATGACAGAGAGAATTCGCACCGCTAATTGCCTCTCCACATTCTCCAACTGTTTCTGGAACTCTTGCCAGGCACTCATAGAGGCCACATAGAAACCGATGAAGAAGGACGTATCCACCCGATGCCACTCCACACATTTCACATCGCTAGCTGTTGGAATAGCAGCAGCAGTATCTCCCTCGTCGCACGTGAGCAGAGCTTCCTTTGTCACGCAATGAGGATCCAAGTAAAGCATCCCCGAGGGGCACGTCCCCAGAATGTAATAGCTGCGGTTGGGAACACCGCCCACAACACCGACACACGATGAGAAGTACAGAACGTGCTCGAGCGCCCAGAACATTGTTTGTGTGATGCACCGTGACGTACCGGACCGCACTGGGACCAGTATGAGCACCGCGCAATTCGCCTCCAGATGCTTGCACACATTGTCAAGCGATACACACCCGCCGAGCGCCACCACAACCTCCATTCCACATGAGAGAATGCCCCGCTTTACCGCCTCGTCGACGCACCATCGAATCGCCTTGCAGCCTTGACTTGGCGGCCAATATTCATTTCGGAAGTCACTCCCTTCTGCAGACACTCCCCTCACCATGTTGTGTAGAGAGAAAGGAGCACCCTGAGGAGAGTCTAAGTCGCGAAAGTACTCAAGTTGGAAGTCGCTCGGCGAGTGGCACCACAGCGCACGGGCGAGCAGCATCTGCGAGGCCCGCGCCAAACAACCCCAGCCCTGGTCGGATGTCAGAGCCGAGTTTGGAAGGGGGGAGAAATTCCTGCGGTACGTTAGAATAAGGAACCCCTGGCACACCACGTTGTTGAGTCCCTCCTCATTTGGTATCGTCTTGTCAAGGATTCTGCAGGGGTACACCACTTTTCTCGGACCACTGTATATCGCATTCAACACAAGATGCAGGAACCCCATGTTCGTTGTTTCAGTACGCACTCACTCACTCAGGGAGGAAGAGAGAGATATATATAGAGGGCAGGGGAGTGCCACACTACCGGTGGTGTCACCTATAGTCTACGCTAACACCACTGTGGCAACAAAAGGAGGGCACAGCTGAGGTTGCCTGTTAGTCAAATACCACAGACTGCGTACACACAAGCGCACGCTCATCAAGGAAGAGAATGAGTACAACAACAGGCTCACAGACAAATATCACACAACCCATACACAAAAACACACAAACGCACCCACATCTGCAAATGACACGACATTGACGCAGGCGCGGCAGACGCGTGTATTGCTAGAAACACTACTCGTTGGGGTTGAACAGGAACTCCATCTGGTGGCTGTGGCGTGGGAAGAAGTGCCCTGTCAGCCGTGAGCCGGTGCGATGTGTGTTGACGTACGAAGTGTGCCACCGTCGTGTAGGGACCCGTATATCTCTACCGAGGGCGCAGGGAACGCACCACGCCTTGCCGTCCTTGGAGTAGAACTTGTTGTGCATCAGACGGTATTTGCATCTCCAGCACTTGAAGCAGTGGAAATGAAAGAAGTATCCCTGCGGGGTCGGTACCTTAGCGTTACCGGCAGGAATCCACACATAGCTGTTGATGTCGTCACCTTCAATAGGCTTCTCGCAGTTGAAGCACGTCACGCCGGCTGGAACCAGCATGGGACGGTCCACATCCTCATTGTACGCGGGGAAGTGCGGCCGTGACTTGCACTCGTCGTGCGGCATCGCGGTTAAGTGGCGCGCCTTTGACTGCGTCCACCATCGCCGGCTGTGCTGCGTGCGTACCTTGTGTGACTGCGTCGGCTTCCCGTGCATCTCGCGCCGCGCAACGCATGGCGCGGGGGCGGTGGCGGCAGCAACGACAGCTACGAGCGCTGCGCCGCACCCGAAACGGCGGCGCAGCATCAAGCCCACTACTCGGCCTTGCCCGTGTTCCTATCTGATACACACTGGCGACAAGAGTGGGGAGGGGTAGAGAGAGAGAGAGAGAGAGAATGCGAAACAAGAAGAGCGGGATACACGCGGAGTTGGCAGAGCAACCGTTCACAGACATGCGGAGGCAAACCCCTTTGGTTGGTTTATCTCCGCTCTTCGCCTTCGCGTGTGTTCCTCAACAGGCACGAGGAAGCACACACACAATAAAAAAAATCAATACGAGATGAAAGAATGGAGGCCATTGCACATGCGGCTACTGTGAGGGAAAATGTGCGCAAGAAATAAATGTAAGGTGAAGAAGTTGAGAGAAGTCGCGCAGTTATGGGTCGCAGGTCACCTGCTGACGCCGGCCACACCCCATCGCGGTGCAAGCGTCCAGTGCATCCCGTATTCTCAGGAGAGTCCAAGCGCAAGCGAAGTTCGCCTCTTGAGGGACTTTGCAGGGCCCGGCTCACGCCATTGTACAAATGCCAGGGCCCGGCCGGTTCTTGCTGGGGCGCGGTATCATCCTTGTCGGACCTGGGGCGTTTGTATGATCGGTAATGCTGGAGCAATGGATGCTCTTGTGAGGCAGAAGCACCCTGATGAACCGACCAAAGCAATGCAAGAACCGGGCAGAACCAAATGGAGCCTCCTCCAGCGAGAGAGGGGAGAGCACCCCACCTCCAAAGCCAGCTGCCATGGGGCAGGAAGAAACCGATGAAGTCATACCACCGAAGCGTCCAAAACATCAAAGAGGGGACACATCCACAACCACAGAAGCCGCGATAAAGCGAGAGACTCGATTCACTGCCGCCGGAGCAGTGGGAAGTAATACGATGCATGAAATGCTTTAAATGGTTCGCACACATAGATCCCAGTCGTGGCACACTGAAGAAGATTCCATGGGGAAAAAAGATATGCTCACAAATGAGGAACGCCAGACACCACGGGATGATACTCCTGCGGACATGCTTCTCACTGGCTTTGTATGCCCAGCGTGTGGGAACCCAATGGCACCACATAGTCAGGCGTGGTTTCCGAGAGGACCCTGTGAAGCCGAGCCAGCGCACTCATTGCAAAGAAACGAGCCTGTACTTACTGAGCTGCCCCGCCCCAAAGAGTCCCCAATGGCACTTTGCTATGAACGGGGTCAAAGTGATGAAGCTATGCTTCACGAAAAAGTATGCCCAGCACCTTCTTGCAGTGGAACGGCTTTCTCCTCGACGACCCTCCCATGCGGATACAACCGTCTATCGCGCAGGGCCGGGTCTATTCTATCCCCCGCCTCTGTTTGCTGCATTAGTTTATAGCTTCTGTTGTGCTGGATAGCACAATGCACCCGCCCACCCCTCCACCCCCCTGCAGCGATTCACCCAAGGCTGGGCCGGTAGGCCTGAGAGATCCCGCGTGTGGGAAAAATGGCCGCCAGCATCCTCCAGCACGAATTTCCCCACAGTCGAGACTGCAGCCCAACGGATAACGGAGTCAAAAAAGAAAAATACTCAAAGCAACAGTTTAAGACAGACAAAAACATCAATAAAATCCCCAAGAAAAACAAGGGGACTTCCTTCCATATCAGCGCTAGGCGGTGATGAACATGTTTTACGATGATGGCTGGTGGGGTGAGGGGCCGTCGAGTCAGAGAGAGAGAGAGAGACGAAGAAGAACAGCAAAAAAGCGGCTGG